ACTTATACAGTCGGGACCTATAGCTTTGTTCACGGGAAGTATTGAAATAATGTCTGATACTTCATGTTCTTCAATTGATATTTTACAAAATGTGTTACTACATAGATTGTACATGTTTGGTAGTGTTTCGTTTGAATCATCAATAGTAGAAATAGATGAAAAATAAGAATTTAAGGCTTCAATTTTGTCTACGTCAGAGTAAGCAAACTTTTTACCACCTTTATCATTATATATTTCAATAGGTGGTATCTCGTTAGATAGTTTAATGTTGAATGAATCCTTCATCAATTTCCAATAAAGTTTATTATTATTTTTACTTGAGTCCTCTAAATATGTTTCAATATTGTCGTAATAATTAGCCATAGCATGTTTCTTCATATTGTTACCCGTACCTTTCTATATTCAGACCGATCAGAAAAATTTTAGTTTTATGTGCTTTTTTATGAAGACGGTCTCTAGTTCTAATTGTTTTCCTTAATAAAGAATCGAACCATGGTTTGTCACGAGGACGGATTGTTATTGTTTGTTCCGGTACGCATTCACGAACACAAGTGAGAAATTCAGATGTGAAATTTTCAGTGGCCAAATCTATGGTATCAGCTTCATTGATGATTTTATCCCAATTACAGTTTTCTATCAAAGTGTTTAATTTACCAAAGTCCGCATTTTTATAGGCCCACACTTTTCTTTTGTAAGAGCGATTGTAGTTTATATTAGAAAAAAGCGAGATAAAAGTAGCTCTATGATCACTTATAGATGATTCCATTACTAATGTGCCCGATTCGCATACTTGAATATCAACAGAAGAAAAAATTGGGTCAAGCAGCGTGCTCGACGTGTTCGTAGTTCTTGTAGGTTCATGGATATTGTTAACTAAATTGTGTGTTGCGATTATTTCACGGATGATATGTGTTTGTGGAGCTGTAAAGAGGTCAACATTAATGTCACCAACTATTACTATCTTATTGGATTTTTCACCAACTTTATCAATACTCCATGAAAGTTTGGTCCAAAAACTGCCATCAGAGTTTGGGGGACGATATACAATGAAGCGCATTGAAGTGGTAAAATTTTCCGTTCGAATGGAACGTTTTGAGCTATATTTAGAGTGTTTATTGTCATCTTATGACACGCCCATTTCTTTAGAAATGGATAAAACGGTCAAGTTGTTTCTTCAAATACCTGTAGAACAGGTTTTCCATAAATATAATAGCCAATCAAATTGAGGATCTAAATAAACACTGAGTAAACACGTGTTCGACCGAAACATGTGTTGTGGTAACTTCAATAGACATATTAGTTAAAAAAATATGTACATATTCGTTGCAATTTGTGTTTTACAGAAGCGGGGAGTCTCTATCTCCCTCTTCTAATTTTTTTAAAAGCTCCATTTCAGTGTAACTCGTGATGCTTGTCGCGAAGAATGGGGTGTCCTAACACTACGACGAATATTCCTTTCTCGTTTCAAAAAATATGGGCGTGTCATTATGTTACAATTGAAGTTCAAAACATGACTCATAACTTTTCATCCAAACGGAAAATTTTACCACTTCAATGCGCTTCATTGTACACAGCATAAGAAATAGTTAAAGGTATGATTATCAATTTCAATCCATATGCATTCAACGTCAGCTGGTTCGAATTCATGTCGCCTAATAGCGCGTATTTTTTCAGATAAGTAAATCATGACACCACCCCCGTAACAATTTCTATCTTTCCTCAAAATATTACAAAACCCATCTAAATGTAAGTCATCATTATGTACAGTATGGTCCAGATGGGTTTCTGTAAAACATAAAATGTCAAAATCATGAACAAAAGAGTTTAAATGATCGATTTTGTGTCTAATACTTCGTATATTGAGGTGTAAAATGTCAAGGACATGTTCAATGGTAGGCCCCGGATTGACCTCGATATCGCCACATGCTAACAGAACAAATGTAAACAATTGAAAATAGAAATTGATATACACAGAATTATGTGTAATACATTTCATGCATTGACTAAGTAGTTTTAAAATATTTTTGAGTAATTGTAACAAATATGCGCATGGAGACACAGACCACAAACATTTTTTAGAAGTTCCTTTACCTGATAAATAGAATAAACCGACTGCAGCTCGATATTCTTCTAGTGAGTTACCCATTGTCTATCTTTTGATATGTATAATTGTATGGAAGTATAAGACCGCAGTCAGTAGCTGCCCAAATTTCGCCTACTACATTATTCACTTGACATATGTATACAAAGTTTGCATGACTTAAGTATTGAACACATAATGTAATAAAATAGTTTCTAACAAAAAGATGTGTGAAATATAAACACAATGTAAACAAAAACAACAAATAAAATATATACACTAGAACCAAACTGGTAATACAAGAAATATTTTGGAAAATATGAAAAAACAACAGTTGACCACCGATGACAGAGTTGCAGTATAAATTGAGTAGCTGGTTGTGTATGAGCTTAGCCCATAGAACAACGTACATGTATGTACAAAAAATAACTAGACTGAGAAGCATAGATGTAGTGGCATAGTTGTGGGTTTAGAATTGCAATAAAAATCTCTATATATAGACAAATATTAAAGGCTATATTAAAATTTATTACAAATTTTGAACAGCTTAAGAGAAAAAAAAAGTGAAAATGACATTTTAATTGATGAAACAAAATGCAGATTTTGTTTGTCAACTGTTCGTTGTATATAATATAGGTATTTATACACAGACAATCACATTTAAATATCTGGAAAGGACGGATGTCAAAGCTAACGGATAGATGCTATCACTGCGGAACGTGGCCGAACGGACAGAGGTCGTCCTCCTGTCTGATGAGATATGTTTTTTTTCTTATTACTGGATGCGGATTTTTCCGTTTGATGACCAAGCCTGTAGTATTTTATGCTGTCGGCAAAGCTGGCGACACATATATAGTAGTTTGTCTCGACGCTTGGTGAGATCCTCGTTGATCATCACATGCCTTAAATTGTTTCAGGATTAAAGCTTTCGTAAACTAGCATGAATTTCAGATACCGAACGCAGTCTTGCAATTATCTGTCTTGGTCCCGATCGTCCACCTTGATTCGATTGCTCGTTTCTTGGTGCCCCTACCCTGTGAGACGTCACGATAGTACAGTTTGTATATCACAGTGATTACATGTAACATCATGCATTGCCTTTTACATATTTAATACAAGCCATACGTCATTTTAACATTAAAATCATGAACTTATTCCTTGTGAAACATCAAGAAAATTGGGGACTATTATGATATTTAATTGTGACATAAATACCACGTAGCATCAGGCCTAGGGGAGGGGGGGGGCTGCCAGAGGCGCTTGTTTCATGTACAGGGTATCTCTACTTATTTTTAACACTTGTGGTAAAAATATGAAGTAGGGATACCCTGTATACAAATGAAACAAGTGTGGTAAAAATAGTAGGGATGCCTTGTAAACAAACTTATAAAATTATGCGCATTTGGGCTGGCTCCAAGGGCGGTCCACTTTTTTTCTAGAAATAACTTTCTACTATTGAATATGTTCGTTAAAAGTCCGATTGGCCTCAATTTTTGTTACGACATAGCGAAATGAGGGAGATGTTGTAGTGTATAAGTTATTAAATTTTGGCCCTTAAAAGTTGACCCCCCTAGAATTACGATTTTCAAGTTTGGAGACCCCCCCTTTTTTTTTTTTTTTTTTTTGCTTGTAAAGTTTTCTTCCAGGTAAGTTCTGACTGTCCCCTCCCCACTTTCAAAAATGATATGCTATATACCCCTGAGGTCAAGGCCAAGAGGTCAGATATGTTGGTACTATAGAAAGGTCTTGTCACAAGGTGAAATTTAAGTCAAGGCCAAGAGGTCAGATTTGTTGGTACTAAAGAAAGGTCTTAAAATTGTCACAAGGTGAAAGTCATAACTCGAACCCCAGGCACTTGTTTCGTATACAGGGCATCCCAACTTATTTGGTAAAAATAAGTGCAATTCATGTATAATACGAAACTAGTGCATATGGCTTGAACCATTCAAAATTTATGGACAAAGTTCCTGCTTTTTGCGGACAGACAGTTATAGACAGACGGACGTGGAAAATATGACAGTTTTGGAAACATCATAAATTTTATGATGCTTTTCAAAAGGCTCGTTACAACGTTTAGAATGACATGGACGGAGAAATGCTAGAGATTTTCTTAATTGTTGTTCAAAGTGGATACTGGTTTGGCTATCCTCTACATAAAATAGTATATCATATGTTTAATATTTTCTGCTTTTTTCAGTTTTGTTGTATTTTTGTTCTATTTTTGATTTTGTTCTTTCTTTTTATTACTTACAATATGTATTCCTTTTTCTTCTTCTCACATTTTATGTAACATTGTCATGTCAGTCAAAAATCTCTGCAATGGTGGAAGTAAAAGATGAATGGGAAATTGGAAATAAGTTAATAAAGAAATTTCCCACATTAAAATTACTGACAATTTTAAACTTTTAATTAATTTTAATAAAATATTTTTTTCTAAAGACATGAAAAAGAAATCAAAAGTTTTAAGAATTTCCAATTATATCAGCTTCAATGAGTTTAGACCGTATGATGTCTCGCGAGAATTCGACACGGTGGAAATACAATCGGCAATCCTCGGCTGACTCCGCTACGCTCCATTCAAACCTCGGATGTGATAGGTGGAGGAATACGCATCAGATCGCTACATTTCTCCGCCGGAAACTGCCTTGTCACTCATTTCATATTTCGCTCTGCCTAAAGTTCTTAGTAAAGGTTTCTTTATTTGTGTAATTCCTCGTGTTAATTACAACCAAATGTTAGTATTCTTTGAAAGTAAGAACACAGTGTTAGGCGTGCATCAAAGTAACTGGGATTTAAAAAGTATAATATTTGAATGAAATTCAAATAAGATCACATGACTGAATCAGCAAGATGGAAGATCACCGTTGACGTCCGAGGTTATGTGCGAGGTACGAGTCATCCGAGGAACTCCGATTGGTGGAAATAATATGGCCGACATGGGAAACTTGTGGGAAGGTGGGATTTTGTAAACACGATTTTAGCTTTCACTTTACGAACAGTTGTCAAAGGTTTTTAACAACATTATGCCTAAGTACTGTTTTATTAGGACAAAGAAAAATTCAGATAACTTTGGCTTCACAACAACAATTTAAAAGCTCATTTGAATTAATGACAGTCAAAAGATGACTGGTATAAGCATACAATTGCGATGTTGTTGTTGATGGTATATTTGTAGCGCACTTGAGCCGAAAAACCAATAAGCTTTTCTGGTTGAAATTTATCTGTTGTCTTTTGTCGTTTTAAACTTTTCATATTAGATCTTTTCCAGAAGCCAATTTCAACCAAACTTATCTCGGAGTCAGACTAGTCAGAGAATTCATTGATGAAGGGAATTCAACTTAATTCAAATGAACCCTTTTGAACCTCGTCTCAAGCCACGGTCGGCAGTCTGCATAGCTCTCTCTCCTACCCATATCTGCTTGATCACAAAATGTGTCGTAGTCTTGACTATTTAGCAGGTTGAGACCAATTGCCGAAATGGGATATAATAGTCCGTTTGGGATATAATATCCCAAATGGGCTATAAATTTACAGTGCAAAAATTGAAATTTTTTATTTTGGCTATAAATATCAAAAATCCGCATCAAAACACTTAAAAAGGAATAACTTTTAGCAAGCAAGTTTTTCTGTATGCCCATTGTTTAGGAGATTGAACCCTCGGAAGATCCTTAACTTCTTGGGGATCAATCTTACAAACTGTATAGGGTTGCTTAAGACTTAGGTTGTTTAACAATAGATTTCGCTCTTTGTGTTTGCATTGATATAGCAAAATAAACACGGGGGATAACTCGAAGTCAGTTCATTTACTATTACTAAGAATAATCCAGAGAGTTCCGAATGTAAACATGACAGGTAAATTTGAAGATTGAAAAAAAAACACTGAGAAAAATAGTTGAATTTTTGTCATTTATTTTTTTGGATAAAAGGCATATACAATCTCAAAAAGGTTTTTTTTTGTAATCAATTTGGTGTTTTTTTTCCAGCGCAAGCCCTTTTGTATTCTTAAAAATCATTTCAGAGTGGATCTGCCCCGATTTGCTTTATTGCAAGTATATGGGACGTATTCTAACTGTGGTGAGGGCTTGTTTTGAGACACAGTTAGATTGCTCTAACTAAATTCATGAAGACTAAAGAATTTTACTGACATCTCTTTGGAATCTCAGACCTGATCCATGAAATCTTGCCCAAACTTTGACAGCTTGTTACAATCAAAATAGGTTCAATTTTCTGCCTGTTTTGACTTTTTGCTGTATAGACATACTTTTAATTCCCTATTGGAGTATCACTATAAATCTTCATTTCTTACCTTTACACTAAAACAAAGTTCAAATCACAACAAAAATCAGGTGGTTGATTTTAGATGGCTTCAAAATATTCTTTTAAGCCTCTAATGCCAAAGAGTCAAGGCCATAAATAGTGTACTTCAAAAACTTCAAACTATAATTTCATTTCTATAGCAGATCATATTAGAACAAAGTATAATATATAAATTTTGACATTTTTACGTTTTAGTTGACTTATGCATTTTTTTTTTGACGATTGTGTTAGTTGCACCTGAAAATTAACATTCGTAAGCATTTGATATGTTTTTTTCAGATTTACGTAAACAGGCAAGACAGCTAGAAAATGAAATTGATTTGAAATTAGTTTCCTTTAGTAAACTAGGAACTAGTTATTCCTCACACACAGATTATGGAAGGTAAAGATTTTTGTTTCAATAAACTTTATTATCATTCAATTTTTTTGCATTGAAGATTATGTAAATTGATAATTCTCATCAAAGTTCACCCTCAGTACATCATTTTAAAAATAGAACCTGTTTTGTATGTTTGCACGATTCTTACTTTTCATGGTTTTTGTATTCTTGCACAATAGATGAAAACAACAATTTGTATTGGATGTTTGTTGTTGTAGTGAGTCCTCTCCCTTGATTCAGCGATCCAGCAGTGAACACATGTTTGACACCATGGCAATGGAGATTGAACAACTACTGTCTAAGGTAGGGAGAAATTGATGACGTACATGCAGATTTCAAGATCGGAAAAGTCAAATTAGAATTTGCAGTTATATAATATCTCAAATTTATTATACTTGAAATCTTGAGCTTGAACTCATTACTCTGATGAAATAAACATAGATTTAATTTTTGCTAATTTTTTTTAATTAAAAAACATTTTTAAAGCAAACTCTACATTCAACGAATTAAAATCAGTGTGAGAAAAACAGTAATCCTTGGAAATTGAACATTCATGTGTATGATTAAAGGAATCGTAGTAAACATGTAGACATAACAAAAGTTTGTATTAGCTTCAGGAGACAAATGACAGAATGGCAGATTACACCCAGAACATTGGAACCAATTCTCCGAGTGCTGCCCTCCTCCACACCCTACAGAGACACCGTGATATTCTCCAGGACTACTCCCATGAATTCCAGAAAACCAAGTCCAATATCACCACCCTCAGGGAGAGGGAAGATCTTCTGGGCTCTGTTCACAGAGACATCAAGTAACTATATATACTTGTTATAATAGATAATACTTGTATTTTATGAAGTTTTTTATCTGCTATATATCAAATTTTTCGATGTTGAAAAAGATTATTTATCAGGGTTTACATATGCTGGGTAAAACCAGAATTTTTTTCTCATAACCACAATTTTTAGATTGAATATCTAATGAATTCTGTGCAATATCTAGGAAACCAAAATTAAAGACACTGAAATACATTATAGGAGGAAAGAATTAATGCTTCAGAATGACATTTAATTAAAAATTTTTATATATACTCTCATTTTGGAAAGCAAACTTTAACCGAGACTGCAGTTAATGTAGTATTTAGAACAAGTTTTTGAGGTAATATCACTGAAGATCTACAAAAACTCGACTTGTGTGTCATTTTAAAGTTTGTAGCTTTCACACTCATGAAGAATAGTGTCATTAAAGCTTACGTGAATAATAATTATTATAAATATTTGACATTTCAGTGCATACAAAAATTCCTCTGGTCTGAACAGAAGAACAGATCTTTACCTGAAGGAAAATGAACACATAAGAAGGTAAGTCAAGTGTTGTTTTCTTTTTTCTCAGGGCTCTCACACTATTTAAATTAGGGTCCCTGGCTATTGAAATTATAAACACGAAGAGCAATGGTAGAAAATTAACATAGATAAACGAAAACATTCATCACATTTCGTATTTCATTTGTTACCAACTTGATCATTTTTATGACAATTGGGAAAAAATCCTACATGCAACACAATTCATATCAGGTCACGTGGTTAAGTTGCCAAAATTGTAAACTTTGAGAGAAGTGCATCTCTTTTGATTTAGAAATTTATGTCATATTTGTTTATGAATTTTTCAATTCCTGTGAATTTAAAGGATACTTTATATATTTACAGCTCTGATCGACTCATTGATGATCAGATAAGGTAAGGATACCATTTGAATCATTGAAGCTATCAAATCAATACTTATCAGAATTGTTGAAAACAATTAGTCCAGTTGGCAGGGCTGTTAAAAATTATCTGGACAGATAACTACATGTAACTAGAAAAAGTTGGTCCAAATGACTTTTCAGCGAATTAGAATTTTAAGGTTATATGAGTGGTACTGATAAATGGTACCATTGTCAATGTCACATTTTCTATATTAATAATGTTGGGGGTACCCAACTCTTATCCCCAACTCCTCTCATATCACTGACTTTTATGGAATCTTTATTACACTGTGCCAGTTTCACCTTTATGTTCTAATTGGATAGATATTTTGGGAGTTTTCTTGTTTTATTATATGACATTTTTTACAGTCTACAATTGTCCTCTTACATTTCAGTGTTGCTATAGCCACAAAAGAAAACTTGCAATCTCAGAAGAGGATGTTGGGGGGAATTACACAGAGAATGAATTCATTAGCCAGTATCCTTTATTTATTTATCACACGGACTACTGCACATGTATACTTAAAAAAAAACTGCTTTTAATTCTATAGATTGAAAAAAAATCCCTTAACTTAATTAACAGATCGTTTTCCTGTCATCAACAACTTAATGCAAAAAATCAACCTGCGTAAGCGGAGAGACACCATCATCTTGGCTAGTGTGATAGCCATATGTACCATCTTATTAATGTTGTATGCTTTCCATTGATCATTTCACTGTGATACTGTGTGCATTTGTATGAGAGAGGGGGGGAGGGAGAAAGAGAGAGTGGGAAGAAAGAGGAGCTATTGTGACAGTTGAAAAAGAGATTGTGTGACTCAGGACTGTGATGAATTATTAATTTAACATAATCAGTTCTTACATTGAATTTCCAGAATGGGTTCTATAAGTTTTCATCTGAGTAGATTGTCTATGTACATAAAATGTATAATTGAATACACATTTGTTTTTGAAATGTAGCTTTATATGTACATCTACATGTAGTTTATAGTACCTACATGGATGTAAATTGTTTTTCTATGAAAAAAATCCAGATATTTTCAAGTTACTGTAAACCAACTTTTATTTGCAACGATTTTATTTCACAGTTTACTAGTTTGCGATGATTAATTTTCACGATCAAGCCTTTTTTGCTCACCTGAGCCGAAGGCTCAAGTGAGCTTTTCTGATCAAAATTTGTTCGTTGTCTGTTTTCACATTTTCATCTTCTTCTCAAGAACCACTGGGCCAATTTCAACCAAACTTGGCACAAAGTATCCTTAGGTGAAGGGGATTCAAGTTTGTTCAAATGAAGGGCCACGCCCTTTACCAAGGGGAGATAAGGCCTAGAAAAAAAATATGTTTGTTTCCGCTTTCAGGCTGAAAAAAATATAGGGTAGGTAGGTAGGCAAATTTTTTTTTTTGGAAAATTTTTTTTTTTACTTCTTTAATCAAAACTTGTACATGTTGTATAGAAGTAACATTAATGACAAAAGAAATGGTGTTTTCAAGCATTTCTGTGACTTAAACTTATAATAGAAAGGAGACTCAAACTTCTTTCTGTCTTAAAAAGCATGCAAAGTTGGAGACTATAATTCCCTGGGTGAAATCTTGCACTTCATGGGACAAAAGCATTAAAAAAAATTTTAGGGTCGGCACCATAACTTAGGGTCGGTCGGGAAAGCGGAAACAAACATATTTTTTTTCTAGGCCTAATTATGAATAAGTGAAAAAATTAATGGTATTTTAAAAAAATCTTCTTCTCAAGAACCACTGGGCCAAGATATATATAGGAAAAATCTTTAAAAAATATTCTTCTCCAGAACCACTAGGCCAGGAAAGATGAAACTCATGTGGAATCATCCTCAGGTAGTGTAGATTCAAATTTGTTCAAATCATGACCCCCGGGGCTAGGGTGGGGCCAAAATGGCCTATCAGAGTTTTACATAGAAATATATAGGAAAAATCTTTAAAAATCTTCTTCTCAAGAACCATTGAGACAGGAAAGATGAAACTCATGTGTAATCATCCTCAGGTAGTATAGATTCAATTTTTTAAAATCATGACCCCCAGGGGTAGAGTGGGGCCAAAATGACCGATCAAAGTTTTACATAGGAATATATTGGGAAAATCTTTAAAAATCTTCTTCTCAAGAACCACTGGGCCAGGAAAGATAAAACTCATGTGGAATCATCCTCAGGTAGTGTAGATTCAAGTTTGTTCAAATCATGACCCGGGGGGTAGGGTGGTGCCAAAATGGCCGATCAAAGTTTTTCATAAGAATATATAGGGAAATCTTTTAAAATCTCCTTCTCAAGTACATGTACTTCAAAGCCATGATTAGTGATATTTATATGAAATCATCCTCAGGTAGTGTAGATTCTAGTTTGTTCAAATCATGACCCCCTAGGGGGTTGAGATTTAAGCCCCACCCTCCAAACTCGGTAAACTTTCATTCCTGAACTGATATTTGCTTTTTCTTAGCCGGTGTGCTCAGGTGAGTGCTGTGGCCCCTGGGCCTCTTGTTTAATGCTTTTAATAGACACAGAGACTTTAAGGACTTGTTTGCGGCGAGAAATATTGGCGATGATGAGGCTCTCACGAACTTCGCGAAAATTTCTAGCACACGAATAAAAGTTGGTTTACAGTATTTGACATAGTATTCATATTTTTTCAATTTTGAGGACCTACTGAATGTATTTCCTCAATGCATTTTTCAGTATCAGAATGTACAATTTCTTTCAGCCTTAATGGAAATATGAATCAATATAAGGTATCACATCTGTTTTAGACAAGTATGTTCTGTGCTATAATAGTTGACTCTACATTCCTTTAACTGGACTTAAATCTTAGTACATGTACTGGTAACTTTAATTTGTAGAAGAAATGTCCTTGGATATCAACTTTACCTGCTGTTTGAAACCTTGTTTTGAACAGTCAAAACTGATTTTAATACATGTATTTATTCAGCATATATTTCAGTGGAGAGAGTATAAATACATGTAAATTTATTTATTAAAATCTGTTTTATGTATTATTCTTTTTAATTGCCTATGATCTTTGAAATAGAAAGAAAATGCATCATAATTGCAACAGTTTTCATTTTAATCCATTACATACAGACATCAACCGACAACAGACTGATGTTATGGGCCAAATAATTAGGTTGCACCTCAACATTAAAAATAGCTATATATTCTTACCAAAAAAGGCACCACTTAGTGTTGGTAATATTTATTGAAAGCAAAATTTCAAGAGGTTTCCTATTCAGAAATTAACAATTTTTATGCCCTTCCCCCCCCTTTGAAGAAGGGAGGGCATATTGTTTTGCTGCTGTCTGTCGGTCAGACAGTCTGTCTGTCAGTCCACCAACAGTTTCAGTTTATTTTCTTTGCAGTGGTTGCACATACTGAAATAAAATTGGATATACAATTTTGATAGAGTTATGCCCCTTGGACTGAAAAAAATTCCAATTATTAGCTCACCTGAGCCGAAGGCTCAAGTGAGCTTTTCTGATCAAAATTTGTCCGTTGTCTGTCGTTGTAGTCGTCGTCGTTGTTGTCGTCGTCGTTGTTGTTGTCGTCGTCGTAAACTTTTCACATTTTCATCTTCTTCTCAAGAACCACTGGGCCAATTTCAACCAAACTTGGCACAAAGTGTCCTTGGGTGAAGGGGATTGTTCAAATGAAGGGCCGTGCCCTTTTCCAAGGGGAGATAATCATGAATTTGTTAAAAATTAATGGCATTTTTAAAAAATCTTCTTGTCAAGAACTGCTGGGCCAGGAAAGATGAAACTCATGTGGAAGCATCCTCAGGTTGTGTAGATTCAAGTTTGTTCAAATCATGACCCCCGGGGCAAGGCTGGGGCCAAAATGGCTGACCCAAGTTTTACATAGGAAAAATCTTTAAAAATCTTCTTCTCAAGAACCACTGGGCCAGGAAAGATGAAACTCATGTGGAATCATCCTCAGGTAGTGTAGATTCAAGTTTGTTCAAATTATGACCCCCGGGGCAAGGGTGGGGCCAAAATGGCCGACCCAAGTTTTACATAGGAATATATAGGAAAAATCTTTAAAAAATATTCTTCTCCAGAACCACTAGGCCAGGAAAGATGAAACTCATGTGGAATCATCCTCAGGTAGTGTAGATACAAGTTTGTTCAAATCATAACCCCCGGGGCAAGGGTGGTGCCAAAATGGTCGACCCAAGTTTTACATAGGAATATATAGGAAAAATCTTTTAAAAATCTTCTTCTCAAGAACCACTAGGCCAGGAAAGATGAAACTCATGTGGAATCATCCTCAGGTAGTGTAGATTCAAGTTTGTTCAAATCATGACCCCCAGGGCTAGGGCGGGGCCGAAATGGCCGACCCAAGTTTTACATAGGAATATATAGGAAAAATCTTTAAAAATCTTCTTCTCAAGAACCACTGGGCCAGGAAAGATGAAACTCATGTGGAATCATCCTCAGGTAGTGTAGATTCAAGTTTGTTCAAATCATGACCCCCGGGGCAAGGGTGGGACAAAATGGCTGACCCAAGTTTTACATAAGAATATAATAAATTTAAAAAATTCTGAATCCCCTATAATTTTATGAATCTAACATGCAGGACTGTCCAAAACTCTTGCATTGTTGAATATTGGTGGGAGCCTTTCAAATGTATTAATTATGATGCATAATTCTGTATATTGGTTTTATATTTTAACAAAAGGAATTGTCATAATTACTTACTAGTAGTTCAGAAATTCTGCTGTATGCGTAAGAATTGGAAGTCTCAATCTATTTTAAACTAATGTATATAAATGAATAAAAGGGAAAAATATATACATACATCTACTGAACTATTAGCTCATTTGTATTTTTTTGCTGTAACCATAATGTACCATAAGATGTGCATTTTAATATTTTGAATCATCATTTTAACCCCCATCCCCGCCTAATGACCATCTGCTCTATTCACCAAAAAAATTTAAACTTCCCAACATTGATTTAATTCAATAAGGTTTGATACACAAGATAAGTAGAATATATTAAGAGCATAAATCAGTGTTTGATCAATGCTTTATTTCATTGAAAAAAGATGTTGATCAGGATATCATTGAAATGGTGGCCATCTCTAAGGGCCTCACTTTCAGCAATGAAAATGTAAGGTAGCTGAAATATCTTCAGTGAAATCGTTGCATATCCTCAATCAAAATATGGAAGGAAAATAAGGAAAATCACAAATGTCAATTGGTAAAGTTTGAGGCTGACTGATATTATGCACCAAACTAAGACTTTAAACAGATAAGCTATTTTGGACCTTGGCCCTTAATTAAATTGATGTATGAGCCACATTGGACCAAGGGGAGAGAGGAAGTGCTCTGGACAAGGATTTTTTAAATATAATTCTGCTTTGACCTTAACCTTAGACCTAGAAACATGGTTCATGGTCACTGCACACCCTTTACCTAGCTGCAGAACTGTAGCTCTCTGAAAAAAATATATTGACAGACTGGAGAGCTACAGTGCCAACCATTGAAAAAACTGTATATTTATAGGCACAAAAAAGTGCGCTTGGTTCTTGATTATTTCTTCCAAATTCTTACCTCAATTGCAAAAAAGCTAGATTTCAAAAAAGTCCTTACTTCTCTGTCAATTACTTTTGTAGTTTACATCTGTACGAAGCATGTTGGACCGAATTATCTTGCAAACCAAAATGGCAGTATAAATAGGCAAAGTTTTCGATGATCTCAATTTCAGGACCAGGAGGGCTTTTGAAAGCAATTATAAGGAATGTTTTGTGCTTGGAAACAGTGAAAGAATATGTTCGGAACACACAGATAGTTATATTTTGAAGTGACAATTTTTAAAACATGGAGAAATAAATCGAAAAACAGCGCACTTTTTTGTGCGCAATAAATAAACAGTTTTTTCAATGGGTGACACTAGCTCTCCGGTCTATCAATATATATTTTTTCGGAGAGCTACAGTCTGCAGCTAACCCTTTACCCAAAGACAATCAGTGGGTGAAGTATGAGCCAGATTGGGCCAAAAAGAGAAAAGAGATCTCGGATGGACAGATGAATGGAAGGACGCCCCAACAGACTGATCTCTATAGGGTACCTGCAGAGTGGGGCCCTAATT